GATGGACACCTGCCACTTACAAACCAAATACAGCTTGTCCATGGCTAAGCATGTCCCAGGGCTGTCTGTTTTCAGCTTCCTATTAGCGAGCAGTTTCATGAGTCATTGACTTTGGCAAAATGAAGCCCAAACACCCACCATTTTGCTGTGTTGCGTCCCTCTGGCTTCACTGTAAGGGACTTTAAAATTTCAGACCCTGCATAATTCCACCGGGCCAGAACCAGAAAATCTGATTTGAGCTTCATCGTATCGTATCGTATTTTGCCTCCCAGGACCTATGTAATGCTATTGCCCTATGCATTAATTCTCTTTAGAAGAGTCACGAAGATTGCTTTTTGGAAGTGGCAGCCTCCTACCCATTTTTATTATTTAAAAGCTAGGATGTGTTTTCTAGCCTCTAGCCTGCAGAACTAAGAAAGCTTAGTCTGGTGAAATCACAGCAGATTCAAAACGCAGGAATGTCAGCGGTCGCCAAGTATTCCCTCTTAGTGGTCTGCCTGTGAAGCAGGCGTTCTGTATGCATTTTGCACTCACCTTCTTCCCTCTGTCTTTCCCTCTCTTCTTCCTTCACCCCAAAGAACCCCGGCTGTTCCACCTCCAGTGAATTCTCAGTAGTCATGGCGCCTCAACGTGAGAATACGTTGTTTTGCACCTAACTCGTTATTACAGCCCTGCTTAACGGCCGGGAGGTTTGAGGAATTTTATTTGTTCAGAGTTTCTACACTATCACCCAGTAGCCTTCACCTCTGAAATATGTGAAGTGTTTTAACTAGCTGACCAATAAGAAATAGGTTCCTTTTCATATTTTGAAATTTAAAAAAATTAGGTTTCCCTGGCAGTGCTCACAAATTTTCAAACAAGTATATGATTAGAGAGGGCCTTGGGGAAAACTGTGAATAAGATGTCATTTATCTGCTGCTTTGCATTTTGGAATCCTTTCTTCCATTTTGGCTGCTTCCCCTCTGCTCATCGCCCATATCTCAGGCATCCGTTCCCATGGCAACTTGGTCAAGTGGGCTGTGTTGTTACAAAGGTTTCTGGAATATGAAAATCATGAGGCCTTACTGAAGAATGCTCTAATAGTAGAACCTCAGGTACTTTCTAAGAGCTGGGGGGAAGATGGGAATCCTTTGTAACATCATCCACAGAGCCTGTTTCAAGACTAACTTTCAAAATCCCTTGATGGTTGTTCATATCAATGCTATTTATTAGGAAGCAAGTTTTTAGGATCAAGAATAGAATCCTATGAAAGAGTTCATATCATTCATTCAAGAAATATTTACTGAATTTCCCCTGAGTAGATAGATGGTCCTATCTTGGTACGTAATTAACAGTAATTAAAAAAAAAATAAGTATTCTAAAAATGCAAGGTGCTATGGAAGTTTAGATGTGGAGGAATACTTCCACCTGAAGCAGTTAGTTTCCAATATTTCATTTGCTAAGTCCTCTGCAATGCTCCCCACCACCTACCTCTATGTGATTAATGTCCTATCTCTCAGCTCTACCTACCTACCAATCATATATGGCAAAGAGCATCGAAGGGGAGAGTCATTGTAGCTGCATTTACAGAATAAATGTGCCATCTCAAATGCAGGGAGTATGGACTCTGAGTAATAGTCGAAGTTTGCTCACAGAATCTGTAATTGCAACTGTTATCTATGGCACTCTTTGCTGGGCGGTGGAGCTTCTTGAGCGTGATCCATATGCCAGGCAAGTTGCAAGGCCACCTGTGCTGCCAGCCTTCCAGCACACACCCCTGACATTTCTCACATTCTCATGACTGCTAAGCCTTTAGCTTTATATTCCCCGTCGTCTTCTCCTTCCCATTCAGGTCTAAGTAGAAACGTGATTGGCGAAAAGGCAGATCATCATCAGGGACATTTGCATTTACCAAAAGGAGAGTAAGAAACATTTTCACTGGCAATAAAATAAAAGCAAATGTTTTTCTCCACTGCCTTTGAAAACTCTTCCTTCATGATTTGAGGGCTGTTGCTTTATTAGCTTTTTAACGCCTTTGGAAATCGAAAGGCAGGGAAAGAGTCAGGAACAAGTGTTGTCACGAGATGGAGGTAGGTGAATTCTCTGAACAGAATGAGTATGTACTTTGTGATCATCTTTCTGTTGTGATCCCAGAGCTGATGAAATCCCAAGCTATGTAATGGCTTTCTTACGCAACACTATGGACATATAGACAATTTTAGATGTGTGTGTTTTAATACACATTATTAGTTCTATACTATATTATTTGGAACCCTAAGACAGTAAAGACAGCAATTTGGTATCACACAATAGGAAGTTGCGATGGATTATGTCTGAAAATCTTTATCTTTGAGGGGGTCCATTAAAAGGAACTTGACTGTTCGTGGAAAATGAGAATTAGCTGACAAGAGTGCAAGGTGGTTTTGGGGAGTCTTCCTCCTTCTCTGCTTCTCCGAGTAGTGCTCTCTGCTGTAACCACACCAGCCTGAAGAGGAGGACCCTGTCCTGTCCCTACTTGGAGGATGCTGGACACAGAGCTGGAGGAGAGCCTCAGCTCCAGATATCCTGTCAAAGGAAACAAGACCCTATGGTGGTTTACTAAGTGAGGGCAGGCACATTTAAATCAGGAGTCAGCAGACTTTGGACGGTAGGTCAAATACGAGTTGTTGTCTGTTTTTGTAAGTCAAGTTCACTGGAACACAGCCATACCCACTTGTTTAAGTGTTTTTTCTCTGGCTGTTTTCCTGCAACAGCATCAGAGGTGAATAGCTCCTGAGGAGTTGCCACAGATCCCAGGTGGCCTAAACTCTTTACTTATCTGGCCCTTTGCAGAAACAAAGTTTGCTGACCTCCTAGTTTAAATCATTTTCTACTTTTGGAGAATAAAGCTAGAGAATCCAGAGAAAGGTAGGAACTGCCAGTCAGTGAAACTGAATATGTTAACTGTATAAGATTTAAAGACAGAGGGAGGTGACATGAATCCCTGCTATTCTAATTTGCTATTAATCGTGAAAACGTCACGAGGCACGACTAACATTTATTGAGAATCCACATACCGTGGGTGCTGTGTTAGAAACTTCCCATAAAATAGGTTATATGGATTGCTTATGTCAAAAAAATTTAGACCTTCCTGGAGATGGGGGTCTTAGGGAAAAACAAGAACAAGCAAACCTATAGGCACACCCCGAGATTTATGACCCCAGACACCGGATGGGGCCTTGTGCTCCAGCAGAACCCCTGACTGCTCATTAGTGCCCAGACACAAAAGATTGTTAAGCTTAGTCTCCCAGTTTGAAATGCATTTTCCCTGCTGTGCAAGGTCAGAAACTGAAGACTCTGGAGGCCCTCACTGTAGTTCTCTTATGTACTCTAACTGGAGAACGAAAGGAAACACGGCAGGAACATGCACACGCTCCTTCAGCAAACTAATGGCAGCATCCGTGGGCGCAGGGGTATTTCGTCGCAATTATTTTTTTCTAAATGGTGTCTTAAAAATCATAAACGTCTTTAGCCAGAATTAGTTAGAGAATTAACATAGTTCAGATGCTATGAATTGCTTTCTAGAAAAAGAAACGTAGGGATGGGAAGTAATTCATTTAAGTAGACTGGTATTGGCAGCAGAATCAGCATTGCCACATAGATCTTCTGAGTCCCTGCTCAATGCTCTTCTCTTCTCTTTTTTTTTTTTTTAAACCAATTTATGTTTTCTGGGTTAGTTTTATCATTTTTGTCCTCATGTTGATCAGAGACTGAGCCTGACACAGCCATGGTGTTCACTGGTTGCATACAAGACATCTTATCTTTTGTCAAAGTTGCTGGGAAATAGTCAACCTAATTTTTTTCCCTGTACGTGCATACATTTTTGTATTCTTTCATTTTCAATCTATTCTTTCCGGGCCTGTCTGTCTCTGTAAATTCAGTTCTCACTTGCGGCAGCGACTCCTGCCTTGATGCTCCTCTCTGAGCCCAACCGCATGCTCCATTTTCGGATTCTGAAGCCCTTTGAAACAGGGAGCAGTCCTCCCTCCTTTCTTGGCAGACATCTACCCTCCCTTTCCAAGAAGAAAGAGTCAGGTAGGATGTATGAAAACAAAGCACAAAAAATGGAAATGACACAGCAAGCCAAACAGTAAGAAAATCAGGCTTTGCTCAAAAGACAAAAAACAAAATAGCACCAAAGGAAACGGAAATACAATGGTTCTGGCAAAACTTGTTCTCTTTTCATTTTGGGGTGTTGGGGGATGGCGGTTAGATTGGAGATTTTATTTGTCAACACCTTCTCCCTTCGATGTCCCCAAGCTGAGCCCAAACCTGCCACCCCCTCAGTGTTGTTCTGGAGAGCATCACCCCTGCCTTCCTCATCAGAGTCTTAAGCCCATTGTCAATATCTCTATTCTACTCTCAACTGCAACATCAGCGCAATGATGAGTAGTGTGTTCTAGCAGCGTCCTACTCACGGTGTCCAAGTAAACTTTTGCTTATTTCATGTCCTTTGGCTTCAGACTTGAGTTATCATCCTCCCACTTCCTTTTTTATTTTTTAAGTATCTGAATATAAATAACTATAAACCATGCTCACCTGATTTTGCAGGTTGAGCATGTCCTCATGAAGGGTTAAATAATGTTTTAAGGTTACCAGACAGTGGGGAGGAGGCCTGAGAAGTTCGCTTCTTTGTTTCTGCCTCACTGGCTCGAGACGGTGCTCTAGTCACTCATGAGCAGCAAGATGACACAGTCTCAGCCCCCGTGTGGGTGACCCAGTTAGCAAACTGGAAATGGTATCAGAACCACAGTAAGGCTTTTCTATAATGTCCCCAAAAGCAGAGTGGGGTGGTAGGAAATGCCACACACAGCGTCACATTCTAGTTCTTTTCCCACTTAGTGGGACCCCATGTGTAACATAGCCAGAGGAATTCATAAAGATACCAGGGCCTAGAAACTACATGGCTACACTTAGCCCACTTTCCTTTTCAAAGTTCTCTTAGTAAAATAGTCTTTCTTCTGAAAGGTGTCCCCATTTACCTGTTGATGCTGTTTTTCTGTGCTAACATCTGCCAGTCCTTGCCTTTGGCATTGGGGGTATCAAACGTAGCACAAATCCGCTGTCTGATGGAGTAGGGAATTTTGAAGGCTTTGGGGCCAGTCTGTGCAGGGAAAGTGCTGTCCTCTTGTGCGATGAAAGTGATGGTTTCTCTTTCACTCTGTAAACACAATAAGGAAAGCGTGATCGGATCTAACTGAAAGCATTATCGATCAACACTTTTTTTTTTTAAAGAAAAAACGCACATGCACAAAATGCTTGCCTGTTGTGTTGGACTCTATAAAATATATTGATAAGTTCCCGTTTCTTCTAAGATAGCAAAGACCTTCTCTAGTAGCCTAATAAATTGTGTACTGGAGATTTACAACAGCATGTTCCACTCAGGGGAGTCATAATCATCAGCTTCTAACATCCAAAGATCTGTCAGGTGACAGCAAAATTCAGTTTTTTTGGCTTTCAGGGACAGATCTAGAATCAGTAGGAAGAAGCTACCAAATGACAGATTTCAGTTCAGAGTAAGGAATGACCCTCTGAGGATAGTCACAACTGACCCGTGATGCAGGGCTTGATCAAGGGAGCTGGCTGTAAAGTGCCTTGTCAGGAAATCTACAAGAGTATGATTGTATGTCGATTATCCTGAAGTTTGCTTCCCGTCCCCCTCAGCCCTAAAGTGTGCTTTTATAGTAAATATTTGGTCTTGTTTCAGGATCAAGTCACTTTGGTAAAACAGAGCCCACCATGAGTCAGAGATAACACCCAGATCAGTCTGGCAGTGCTACAGCCTGGAAGGCTCCTAAGCACCCGCCATGCTTCTGATTTAGAGCTGTCCAAAGAGGGTCTGCTATCTCTGTACATCACGGCAATTTGACCGTTATGTCCAACACGAAATCACATAGAAATGTGCCAGATTGCACTGGCTGCTAGTACGTTTAGGTGGACTGACAGAACTTCATGGACTGAGTCACTCTCAGGATTCTGAGACAAAAGGGATTCTATTGATGTAATTAAGTTCCCTAATCAGTTGACTCTGAATTAGTTAAAAGGGAAATTTTGCTGGGTGTGCCTGACCTAATCAGGTGGCCATAAAACCAGGGAAGAGATGGCTCTTGTCTGAAACATCTTTCCTGCTGGTTTGGAAGATAGCAAACCACCATGCTGTGAACTGCTCTTAACGGGGGTCGTGCGGCTGGGGCTTGTGGGTGGCCTCCAGGGGCCGAGAGTGACCCCTGGCCAATAGCCAGCAAGAAAATGGGGACTTCAATCCCATAGCTGTAAGGAAGCAAATGATGCCAACCTCACCTAGGTAAACATGGAAAATGACTCTGAGTTTCAGATGGAAACGTGTCTTGCCAACACCTCGATTTCAGCTTTCCTAAGCAGAAAGCCCAGTTGTGCCATGCCTGGACTTCTGACCTACAATATCTGTGATGTTGTTTTGTGCTATTAAATTTGTGGTAATCTGTGATGCAGCAAAGGAGACCTAATGCAAGGGGAAATTAAAGCATCTCTGAGATTGGGTTAAGGAAGGGGCTAGTTAGGACTGTTTAAACTCCAAAAAGCTGTCCTCTGCATTGGGAACTTGCCTGTTAGGTCCTCTAAGGAAACCCATGTCCTGTAATCCTGCTACTTCTCCTGATCTTTACACATCATCCTAATCTGGGCAGCACCAGTGTGGGGGTGCTTCTCAGCTAGTGGCTAGGCTCACACAACCGTAGACCATCAGACTTGGCAAGTTCAAAACAGAATTGAGGAAACCGGTTGGTGCAGAGATTTTACTAATGATTGATGATGCATTTTGGCTTTCCGTAAGCATTTGCAAAAGGTTATCTCAGAAATGATTCTGAGAGAGAGCAGTCTCATGGTCAAACACATTTGAGACATGTTGCATATTATATCCTCCTCTTGGAAACTCAAAGTACACGTTACATTATTAAACAGATTCTACTTACTGGTTTTAGTTCTATTCCTGAAATATCATAGAACGATTCTCATCAAAACTCTTCCAGTATTTGAGGTTGCCATAATCTAACAGAAAAGCAGGGTTGTAGAACCAGAAAGATCTCACTTTGGATTCAGACTCGACACATCCTAGCTCAGTGACCTTGGATGCTACATTATCTGTCTCAGCCTCGATTTCCTAATCAGTCTTGTTGCATTTTTCTAGACCCCCACAGAGGTTATGACAGTTGGAAAAATCACCCAGATAGTTTGTGACATAGCTGAAGCTAGAATTCTGATATCCTGATAATTACACCAGTACTTATTTCACTACACCACCCTGCTTCAAGACAAGTACCAAGAACTCCCCAGAGCAGGGTGCCTAAAGAAAATGTTCTCTGAGTGACATTAGCATTATGCTCCAGGAATTTACAATAGTTAAGACTTCATGGACGAAATACTTTGAGTTGGCCTTGAAGGATAGATAAGCATCCCTTGTATAGAATTTTGGTGGGTAGGTGGCTATTCTAGGCACAGTGGACAATTCTGATATGCCAAATGGTTATAAAATAAACCAATTCTGTCCCTTACTGCTTAAAATAGGTTACAACATACATCATTTTTATCATGGTTTGTAAAATTTCTTCTAGCCTCTAAAAATGCAAATCAAATAGGAATAGCTTCCTTGCATATTTTCTGACTTAGGAGTGTGGTATAAACTAGAGGAAAAATTAAAAAGTAATTGTAGGCAAGGTAACAGGGTAGCTGTCATTGTAAAACGACACCAAAGGGTATTGACCCCAGAAGACGTGGCTTGCCAATGAAACTGAAAATACTGAAAAGTATCCTTGCCAAAGGACTGCAAGAGACAGACCGGGCTTCTGGAAGCCCTCATGGCACCTGCAAACTGTCGACTAAATACTGTCTTTACTGCTGGCAGAAGAACCACTTTAATGCATGATGTCTTCAGAAAAAGCTGGACAAAGTCGTCTTATTTGAAGGTGAATAAAACATTACATGAGACTGAGTCTAAAAATAAGTAATTTTTCAATTTACTACGCTTTAATAAGTAAGCCCCCATTTCTTTCTTAAGGTTTCCAAATTTAAATATTTTCTATGCATAAGGATGACATTTTATGTAACATTTATGATGCATTCTAAAAGACATCTGGGCCAAGTAATAAGAATCCTGTAGATACATCACATTTTCTGATTGTTTAAATTAAATATGCAAAGGAACAGTAGATTTTCATGCTCTGCACATCTGAGATAAGCGGCTGCTACCTGGTTAGCTTAGGGAGTTGTAAATCAATGAGAAATTCCAAGTATTCTACTTTGTAACAGACAAATTATGCCCCCACTTCCGCCACTTTTGGAAGAAAGATAAGAGTGTTGCTTGAAGGGAAAATTGTAACATGCAAGATTCTCATTTAAGTTTTTTCTACTGGAAAAAAAAAAAAAAGGTTCTTTAATAAACATTACATTAATAAGGAATGATGAAAGACATTACTTGGGGATTCTTCCCTTCTCTTCAATATCTGCAAAATCGTTTTACTCCAGTTCGTAATTTTAGACCGGTGATACCGTTGCTGTATAGAATATCAATGGGCAATAATCATCAGGTAATTCAATGGGGTTAAATTTAAGAAGAACCAACCTACTTCTAAAGAGTGACACAATAATGGCCACTTGAAAAAAGATATTATCTTGGTCACTGAAATAATTTTTAAGTGTAAGGGTGACATCATAAATACTGAACATAACCAAATGTCTTCAGTGAGGATCATCACTGTATCAAGATATTTAAAATTAATGTTATGTATCTCCAATATTGATTTTATACATATCCTATTGATCTTATCTATTTTAAATATATATCTTAAATATTGATTTCTGGTGCCGTGATGTTTATCCCTAGTGCCTCCTGAGTCCCCAAAGAGAAGGCTTATTTTATTGACAAGGCCCATTTATTTAATTTATTTAGTTAAGGCTAATAAACTACACTGCCTTGACTGGGACCCGGAAGTCGTGTCATATGGTCATCAGACTTTGATCTTGGAGTCAGATCTCTCACTTGGGTACTCCGGCTCCCCACCTTATTAGATCCATGATCTTGGATAAGAAGGTTGACCTCTTTGAGACTTTTATACCATGTAAAATTGTGACAGCAATAATACTTAATCCACAGAGTTATGATGTTATATGACACATTTGGAAAGCAAATGAAACAGTATCTGAAATATAATAGCTTTCACAAAAGTTATTAGTCTTCTGTCGTAGAAAATGCGAACAAATTAGACTTGTCTAAGAAATACAGTTTATTACAAAGGGACAGAAACACACCGGGGACTGGGCCAAATCCCGCAGGAATGCTTGAAGCAATTAATTAAAGTGATCTTGGACAGGATCAAAGGGTTAATAAAGCTTCTAGAACGCAGCAGCCCTCAAACTGGAGACTGTCGCCTAACAATGAGTATCTAAATATTAATCTGATATTTGCCTTCCAGTATCTAGAGATACTATGATGTTATCTTCTTCAAGGCATTTCAAAGTGACTATGAACTTTTGAGCATTAGAAAAGAAACTGGAGAGTAAAGGATGAGGTTGAGTTTATTAGCTAATTTTCCTTCCATGCAATTCAAGAATTTATTTAAGCAAGGAGCAAAAACACCAGCACGTACCAACCCTACCATATTCCTCTTACGTAAATATCCTGTAATGGCAGAAGTTGATCACCATTATCAGGGTGCCTTAAAAAACAAAAACTTTCAAATCTGGAATTCTTTCGTTGGCCTGTTAACAGATATTTAGGGCACTTTGGATCAGAGGCATATTTAGGTTCTGCCTTTTCGTGCTTGCGTCTGAGTACCAGCTCTTCTAGGATTGTCTTTGTTTTTATTTTAAAACTTCCCGACGATTTTTATTTTACTTTGAAATATCTTGTGTTAAATATGCCATGACTGTTCAGAAAAGAGGCTCTAAAAATATCCTACCCCAGGTTTCTGGATCTACCTTCTCCATCAAAACTACTTTAGCACATAATGCTAATTGGCAATAATGAATGCAAATACAGCATAACATGTCAGTTAAGACAGCTATCAATTTAAGGCACAATCCTTTGGAAAGCCATCTACTCTTCAGAAAAACTATTTGAGAAATTAGCAATACCCATTTTTGCATAAACAATGAATTAAAAGGAAAATGGAGAGGCGTGATCATGCTATATAGCTGCAAATTTTTAAAGAAAAAACCCCTGCAATTGAGTTGTATGTATGCAAAAGTGTTAAACCTTCTGCCAAGCCTAAATTAGTAAACATATTTTATATATTAATAAATATGTATGTATATATATTTATTCTATAAGTGAATGATAAAAGTATGTGTATTTTCCTACACTAGCCAGAAATTACCTTAAAACTGCTAAACAAAAGCATCACAACCCTCAGCTACTCTCTCCCTCTACCCCTGCAGAACCATTCAGGAGGGATTGCTATTGTCTACTTTCCAAGCTCACGTCCAAAGCCATGAAGTCACTCAGTGGTCTGAGGCAAATCAGAGCCATAGTATACAACAATCAGGTGTCTTTTTGCAAAGGCTCCCAAGCGAATCTTCCTTTGAGTCCCACTTTAACAATGTCTTTCAATAGTGGTACAACCTGGACAAAGTCGTTTACCTCTTTGCACCTCCATTCCCTTACCTAGTAGAATGAGATTAACATCTACCCTGTCGTCCTTATATTATTATTATTATTGGTGAATCTAGATTGAGTGGAGTTGTGGATGTGCAGAGTCTGGACAGCGTGAGACAATGTAGGACAAGGAGCCCAGGCCCGAAGGTGAAATAGCACAGGCAGGGCGACTTCTGGAGAACTAGTCAGAATCAGCAGAAAAATGGCCTGATGAAATGGCCTGATGGTGACCTTGTGCCCCTCCTCCATGGTATGTGTCTCAACGGCACCAGTGGGCTCTAGCCCAAGATGAATCCCAGCTGACACTCCAAGTCTACTATGGGCTATGAAACTTCTTGTAGTTTCATGTATAAAAAGCCCTGGACCAGTTCCTTCCCCAAAGGTCCTTCCACAATCTAAGGTCTCTCATGCCTTGAGTTTTTCCCTGCCGAGTCGGAGGCTCAGTTCAATCCTCAGCCTGAGAAATAGTTTATTTTCCCTTATTAGTAAAGAAGATTAAGAGTTTGTACACTTTGAAGCTCTTTCAGGACCTGAATAGCATGGCTGAGATAGGTACAGCTTTATTGTTCTTATTGTCCTTTAAAAAGGGGGTCAAATGACCTGTGGATCTGAGGACTCACCTCCAGGATTGATGTCTGCACTTGGAGGATCTGTTCATGGCCTTTGAGCTGCCGGATGCAGATTTTGCAGGACAGCTGGGTGGTGGTGGGCGTGTAGCGCTCCAGGGAGAAGGCACAGTGCAAGGGCTGCCGGTTACTGCTCCACACGCGGGAGAACGGGACTTCCTGCGGGGGAGATGGAGGACAGGAGAGAGGGGTGTGGTGTGCAGAGCCCAGCTGAGATGAACTAAGAACAGGGGAGACTTAATAGCAATAATTATGACAATGATGGCGACGATGATGCCAGCAGAGATAATTGAGCGACTTTGGTGGAATTGTTGTAGAAATAATGTTCCAGCATATGCCAAGCAGCACAAAAGTAATTAATGTCAATTCCAATTTATAACATTTGAATTCCAAAACTACACTGCAAGAGCTCAGATTTCACTTGGTGACACACACAATTAGAAAGAATACCATCCAAAATTAATCATCTTTTTTTTCCCCACTAAAAAAAAAAAAATATTATCCTTTAGAAGACTCACTCCTATGGTCCATCCTTCTACCTAAGCCTAAGGTAAGATGTTATCTTCTCAGTTAAATAAAAATAATGCTAAGGAAATGGCGAGAAGTTATCCTCACACCACAAACTCATGCAGAATGGTGTGAGAACACAGTATTGCTAATGTATCAAGCATAAAAATTAATATCTACTGCAAAATCATGCACATATACACACATCCCAGAGAGAGACAGACAGACGGACACCCTGGGCCATCCTGGAGTGATCTAGTTTGCCAACTCCTCTCTTGTTCGATTTGTCCATTTCAAAATTATACGTAAGGGGCCTGCTAATGGCCAGACGCTGTACTAGGTAAACAGTAAGAAACAATAACAAATCAGGTTTGGTCCTCATTTTCAAGGGATTTATAGACAAATTGGCAAAAGTACTTTTTACTAAATGAGGAGAGAAATTATAAAATCTATACAGATGACTCATTTTTCCTAGCACTACCCAGTACTGGCCACCAATTGGACTGTGTTCGGGCATTTGACTTTACAATAATGTAAAGGAGAAGTCAGTTATTGAAATCTTTCATGTACTAAAAAGTCTCTCCTTCCTATTGAAATGTGGCCAGGGCCCTTGGCAATGACCATGCATACCCAGCCTCTAGCAACCCTCATCCTCATTTCTCCTCTCATTAATTTGCTCTTTGACCTGTTGCTCAAAATATGATTTTCTGCAATACTAAAACTGAAAGGTAGCAAAACATGTAGCAAGTCTGGAAGTTTGAGACCCTGACCTGGGGCTGGTGATGAAGCCAGCGTGTGCCATGAGGCCAAGGACCTTGACTGAAATTCAGTCTATTCACGCTGGGGAACTATGAATTATCTAGCTACTCCTGAGCTCTGATGCACACGTTTGTTTGTATACCTTGTTTCCTAATTTTCTCTATGGGAAGTCTCACAAATCATGATCTTGGATACTTCCTGGGGGAGCGAGCCAGGAGGGATGGATTTTAGATTGCTGCATACTTGAAGAGAGGAGAGTCAGCTTTAGAGGGAAGAGAACAAAACCAAACATTGACTCCTATCATGCATCTCAGCAACAGATATAATGATTTTGTGGGTTGTTTTGTTTTTATGTTATTGGTCCTGAAACAAAGGAAAGGCAATGGACTGTCATTTCAAGAAGTACATAAAGGATTCAGAGAGGGTCTATAGGTGTGACACTACCTAGCATTTCATTGGCTTGATTCCCACATAAGATGTGAGCCGTTAGCATGCAACGTTGTCTTTGCCATTCTGTTCTTCCCTATGTGGCAGGGCTGGAAGCCTACAGATTGCATCTTATAGACTCCCTTGCCAGCAGAGAGCTTGCATTTCCGTTCTGCTAGGGAGAGGTACTCAGGCTAGATTTGGAAGGGAGAGGAGGTGCGGAAACCATCATGGCTCCCCTAATCTCTACAGGCAAGCTCAAAGGCTTCAGCTGACAGCACGAGAAAAGTTTACAGGGTCTTCTGGTCATTCCCCTGAGAACCAACTGCTTCAGTGCTGGGGCAGTTTCCTGAAATTCCTGAACTTGCTGGTTTCCTAATATCACTAGCGGCTTTCTCTGACTTTGGCTCCCCCAGCTTCTCCAAAGGTTTTGTAAGCACATAAATCCTTTGATTGAATTTCCCCTTGGTTGAAATACCTTGAGTGATTTCTGTCTTCTCGACCAAACAATACTCTTTGATTTGAAGAAGTTCTCTTAGAAACCGATAGCAGTTGGGCAGCATTGAAAGGTGACACTCGTGACTTCCACAGGGAGGCTGCCACCTCAGGAAAATGCTGGATGCAGCACTAAAAGCTAATGATCACGAAGGAAGATTTTGGCTGGAACACAACTTGCTTGTACCACCAGCCGACAGCACAGGTCCATTTAACCGTCTCTCTTTCCCACTTTCTACTAACACAAAAAGTTTTACTTATGATCTCCTCTCCTTGCCTCCTGTAGTAGACTCTGCAGCAGAGGGCACTTCTGATCGGTGGGGACTCCTGGCAACTCTTAGAGGAAGTCATTTTCCCTGAAACATTCCAAAATGGCTTTTTGCCTGTACCATAATATACACTTACAAATTCTGCCATTTCTCCTTGTTGCCTAATCCGCCTCTTTCCCTCTTTCTCCTCCTGAGCCTTCTTCCATTACGCAAACTAGGCCACATCTCAGCCTCCTACACTCCTCTCTGCCTACCACTGTACCCTACAAGATCTCACCTGCCCACACATGCCCAGCTGCCATCTCCCCATGGAGGGCTCCAATAACAACATCTCTGGTATCTATTAATAGCTCATGCTCCCCAATCCCTGGCCTTATACTCCTAAGCACGACATGGCATTTTATTTGGCCTTTACTTCTCTGGCAACTTTACCTTTTGGAAACTATCACCATCTCCCTCCCATTGCCACTCTTCTCCAATTTTCCAGTGTCCATCTCTCTTGGTTATGGCTAACTGTAGTCAACTACTCACCGGTCTCTCTGTCTCAGTCTCTACCATACAGAGCTAGTGAGGATGTTGGGGCTTCATGGAAGAGGGAAACAAAAGCAACTGATTGGTATTCTTCAGGGAACAGCAACATGGCCTCTCTTTTACCTCTAATCATGGATGTGACCAGGCCACCTAGAAACTCTGCATTTATCACATGATTCCTTTGCTTGGCATGGAGAGTGGTCACAATGGCCCCTTGGTGCCTGCCATGTTAAACCCTACTCTCCCATCTGGGCTCAAGGACTTCCACGATCTTTTTCAAACCAGTACATTTTTGTAGAATTATTTTGCACCATGTCTTTCAACAAAAGTAATGATAATGTAGGGTGCTGTGGTTAACAGGTGCTTTTGCCTAACTAAGGAGGTTTTTGTTTTCTAAAATGGAAATTTGAGTCATTATAATATAATGAGAATGCTTGGACTTCAGGGCTACAATGAGGCAAGCTCAAGGCCCAGCTCTTAAGCAAACCTGCATTTTTTCCAGTGGATTTGAATTCTTGGTAATATTTACCTTCCTAAGAAAATGGCACTGACCGCTTATTTAAATTAGAAGTGTCTTCTCTGGTCTCGGTTGCTAGATTTCCTGTATTCTTGAAAATACTGGAAGAAGAGTTGAGAGTAATGCCCACGGCAGAGATAATTTTTCCTTGCAGAAAGACATAAGACTCAGCACACACACAAAAATCCTCTCTTTTCTCTTTCCATTCCATTGCACACAATCAAAACATTTAAAAAGTCTGATTTTAAGACAGTATCAAAGGAATATTTTTTTTTGTTGTTGACTTGAGTAGCAGCTGCCAATAGTGCTCAACAAAACATTTAAAAATAATAGAATTAGAAGCACTGTGATTAGTGTGTTTTCAGGGCAGTCATCTTTGCTTTCATTTATTCAAAAAACCAAAACAAAACAGAAACACACCAACAGTCTCACTGAGCTGAGAGGAACTGTGTAGAAAGTAAAAGGAGACGACAAAGTGTGGCAAAGTTATGTGTGTTTAAAGGATTCCGGAAATGTTTTCATTTTGATTCCCATTATAATTAGGTTCCTAGCAGATGGAGAGGATGTAAATCACATCCTAGCAGGAGACAGACACTGGGTTCTCCAAGATACATAGCGCACTGAAAAGACAGATGCTTTTATTCTAGGGAGATGACAACTTGACTTTGTGTTTTGTTGGATTTAAAAAAAAATAATAATTTATTGTGTTACGTTTATTGCACCTTCTCCACATCCAGCAAAGAATAAAGGAAACTGTGATTTAGTAGCTCTCAGGTCCCCAGAACCTACTGAGAGCAGTGTTATTTACTTCCTAGAGGAGGGTTGCTAATTCTCCAGGGCAGACAATAGCATCTCCCTAATTGCAGTGCAGTCTTAAAGCCTGAGAAGAAAATGGGGAATAAGGAATTGTTCATTTGGGGGTACTAGCATAGTGGGTTTCAGTTTCCCTTTGAACCAAGGCCAATGGGTGCTACTGAAGATCTCTGAAAAGCTGACATAGCTTTTAATTACCTCCCACCCATCACAGCTGGCTTCATAAGAAATAAGGGCTGTATGCAGCATAATACTCCATAAGGCATAACCCTCCAGAACCCAAAGCAACAAGATGTAAAATCTAGTTAGTCCTTCTATAGAGGCTCTCATCACATAGCTCTGGACCCAACCTTGAACTCACACCATTCCCCATGCAGTTTGTTGATGTCTGATAGGGCAGACATTCTGTGCGCTGGGTGGCTTCCTGGCAGAGTATGGTTTGGGTACCAATTGTCATATGTCGACTCCCAGGTCCTTGATTTGATGCTAGAGAGGGGAACAGGAAGACAATGCTACCAGAGGTCTTCCGTGGACTAGGTTGGAAGATGACACGGAGATTCACCCATTGAAGAAGAGATCTAGAAATGAGGTCAAGAACTGTGCGATTTTCCAGCTCCACAGTAGCTTTCTGGGATAACAGGAAAGAGGCCCTGTTAGTTCCTAACCACTTAGCTCTAATGAAAAGCCATTCGCTATTATCCAGGCCAAGTCTATCAGTGCACATGACATTCAAGCAGGCGGAACACAAACCCTCCCCAAAGTGCCTACATCTAATGCCTGGAGAAAACACAGCACTGCCATTCAACCAAACGCAGTCACACAAGCTGAGGGGTTTCTATGATGAGAGGGGCAAGGAAATTGGTGGTAGGATTGGTGAAGAGAGCACAAAGCCATTTGGAGTAAGAAAATGAAGTGGAAAAGAAAACTCAGTGGCAAGCCTCTTGATGTAGGGAAAATTAACTTGTTTCTCAGCCTTCCAAGAGTCTTTCAAACCATGCTCAATTACAATAGGCAAATATTTATACACATTCACAATCTCTATGCAATCCAACCCATCCCAGAAGTAAAGCTTGTTGGGTTTCCTTGCAAGCCAATGCCCTCCAGTTTTGGCTGGTGCTGCTGCAAGTAATGGTTCTTTCATCTGATTTTTTTTTAATCTCCAAGCATTAAACTTAATAGTTCACTTTGGACTGAGTCACTTGCATTAGACCTAGTGAAACGAGGCCCTTATAACCTATAAAGATTAATACAGAGGAATTTGCATGTCTATCAGGACTTGTTTTAACAGTACTCTCAAGTTCAATCTGGACTAGAAACTTTGAGTACTGCTTACTGGAAAACAAAGAGACCAATGTCTTGTACATCATACATTCATGCATAGAAAACCTCTCTCCATCAGGAATTGTACTGAATGGGGCCCAACCCCACCCCCCAAAAAATTGTTCAGGCCCATAAGAGATGTTCATGCTGCCTTGAATATACTAAAACTATACAGAGATGGACAGATCCCAAGGTAACGAGAAAAACGTAGCCCTTGTTCAATTTGAAAATTCTGATTTTTAGAAGTTAGAAGGGTTGGTGGTTCAACTTTTTTCTAATTATGATAGGGCAGTCAAGGGTTTTTTTCTTTGTGACTTGGCTTATTTGCATTCTGACAAGCTGGTATGCCTGTGCACAGTTTTCTTTTTTTTTTTGAAATGAATGCTGCAAGGACAAAGTTTAAAAAACCCACAGGACTCTGCACATTATGCTTATGGGCAGAACAAAGAAGCCTGAAAGCATCCTGTGATTCCAGATCAACGTGAGTACACCCACAGCTTTTCCAGAGTTAGGGAAACATCCTGTCACTCGAAGCACAGATGATGCTGGTTGTTTACGATGACAATACTAGTCAATGGTTGATAAGAGATCTTTTCATGCTAAGTATGTAGTCAAAATCTGTAAAAATGATCCAAAGAGATTCCAAGTTTCCCTGCCATTTAAAAAACAAAAAAACCCAAAACTCTAATAAGAGACATATGGACAATACCATGCATCTGTAGATATTTATAAAAGGACTCTAAAAAAAAGGATTATTTTTCTCTGCTTTTCAATTTGTATTAATATTTCGAGCTGTCTGCACTGCATTGATTCCACGACAGAACTCATATTCAGAAATAACACAAATTTTTGACTTATCCGTGGTTTATAAAAATTGCTCTAAAAAAAAATGAAAGATGGTCACAAGCCAAACCACGTGTTTGAAAGACTGAGGATGTATTTTCACAATAAAACAAGATGTGTCAAAGTGAAATGTCAGAGATATCAAACTAAGTACTTAAGGAAATTGGACATTTCATACTTAATAACCTAATTAATTCCTTCTTCTCATCCTGCGCAATTCATTTGACAGCAAGTCCTTCATCTCTGAAGAACAAACTCTCTTGTTCTCACCCGGCCAGCCAAAGCTTTCTATAACTCAGAATCATCATCCTTAAAAAGTTTCTCACCAACATTCATTTAAAACAATGTCGCACGATGAACCGATTTTAATAAAAACAAACCAACACCCAAACCTTGCTCTACACTGTTAAATTGGCATTTCAACCTATGCTGAGCAACAGTTCAAACAGGAGAGGGGAGAAATGTCACATTACCTGACATGCAAGCACCTATATTTCCCCACACCTGTTAGAATCTTGTGCATTTACGACAGTATGTTTCCTTGCCTGTGTGTAGCCCAAACTGTTCCATCTCCGTGACAGTTTTGAGATGAAATCCATCCTTTAAAGGAGGAGGGAAAAATCACACAGGCGCTCACCAGGATTTGGGGCATGCTTGCTGGGTAGAGCAAAGCTGTTCTGTTAGAAACCCATTTGGCTAGTACCTGGCAGGCAGTGAACGGTTTAATTCTCCAGAGAAATGGGGGAATATCGAGAACAGAGATCTGGAGACTAAAGGTATTCCCTTTGAAATGCAGCAACTTTGGTTCTTCCAGTAGCTGTCCACCTTGATGTCTTTCATCTGAAACCACTTCCTATGGGAGAGGAAAAAGAAAACAGGAACAACAGTGAAATATCCGGTTTCTTGTATATTTCTCTCTGTGCACATGTATGCCCACCACATCTTTATGACGCCATATCCTGAGGCCTAATTACTAAAAGGTGCTGCATTAATAAGGATTTGGTCAGAAAGAAACAATTGTTCTTTATTATTTGCATTGCTTAGGCTTTCAAATACACTGTGCCTTTCTTTAAAAGACCTCCCCTGCCCCCATGCAAATTGTACTACTGTTGAGTTTCCACGATTGCATGAATTTCATTCTGATATGACCGTAATCAAGGGAGGTATTTGTACTCAACCTGACACATCATCATATTTCACAATAATCGAGGAAACAGCCTTCTCCCACTCCGGTTCAACTATTCTTCACTAACCCAGGCATTATCCGATATTTATTCTTCTGGGTTAAAAATAAATGTTCCAGAGTGCATGCATCATGTTTATTTGTAGTACCGTTCATAAACGTTATTATGCCAAAGGCCAAGAAAAAACAAGTCGTGGATCAGGTTAGCTGTAGCTCAGAAAAACAGCAAATTCCTGAGGTAAACATGTCTGTATCTTTCACTGAAAAATCTCTATACAATACGATCTAATACAAACTCAATCCACATACATTCTGTTGAGGAAGCCATTTAATTAGTTCCAAATTTGTGGTGTTTAGAATTGTATTAGGTGGTAGGACAAATGAAATAATAGAACAAATATATATTCTGTAAAATGCTACACTATTGTGGAGGGGAAGCTTTTGGTGTCACTGAAGATTAGAGATCTCCCTAAATCCATTTTAAAAATCACTATTAATTGACTTATCGTTTCCTTGCAGAGCTAGAAGAAATACAAAAACTGTAATCTTTTATGTCCTATAATCTTCCCAGATTCTAAAAAAGATTGTATGAAGTAAGGCAAACAGGTTTATAAATACAATAAACCTTACATTTCAATTATCAATGAGTAAAAACAGCTCTACTGGTCATTTGATCCATCTCTTGTCTATAAGTGGAATGACATTAACAAAAACATTTCTGGCTAGCAAGAAGCCATCCCCAACTTTTATCCTGCGTGTACACGTAAACAAGTATCTTTTTTTCAGGACTAAATGATTTAGTTCAATGTCATTGTCGCCACCTCTTTGGGATTGTTCGTATGAGGGGTGTTTCTTGGGGCCCTTGGGTCCATGCTAAACTTGCTGTGATGAAGGAATGTTCTACATCTGTGTTGTCCATTTTGGTATCCACTAGCCACAGTGGCTATTAACCACCTGAAATATGTCAAATGACTAAGGAGCTAAATTCTTCATTTTCATTAGTTTCAATATCTGCATGTAATTAGCAATGACCGTACTTGATAGGAATTGCCAAGCACTGTACTATCCTAACACTGGATTTCAGAGCTGGGCATAACAACATGCTGGCCAGTGTCTGGTGGGGGCTGCAAGGAATGGAAGGAAAGAGGTCATGTTGGAAGAAAGGGAATTAATTCTAAATGCGTACTTTGGTGAGACATTAGTCCTTTTATGGATTCTGGTCACTGGTTTCTTCTGTTGAGATTTAATAAGCGTCTGCCAGGGCTATACTTGAGTTGGACATTGGGTGTACAGAAATGGAACAGTCTCTGCCACCAAGGAGCACAGAGTCCAGTGAGAGGGTCAGAACAGTAGGCATATGATTATATTAATACTGTAATATCCAAGCACTGCCATCCACATACGCATGGGAGGTCAGGGAAGACAGAGGGTGCCTAACCCAGAAGGGAGGACAGGCCAAGAAGGAGTCAGGGGATTACTAGAGAAAGTGATGAAGTAAATACAGGAGTCAGCAACTTAACAAGGAGGGAGAAGACATTTCAGACACTGAGCAGGGCGGGTACAGAGGCATGGTGGCCAGACAGAGCTGCACAGAAGGTTAGGGTGGAAAGTGTGTGGCTGGAGCTGGTGAAAGTTGAGGGCAGTGAACTGATCATGAATTCTTGTTTGCCTTGCTGAGGACTTTGTATTTTACCTTAGAGGGATGTCGCTCAGGTTTCAAGGTGCATAAGACTCCTCTGGTGTCTTGATGCACTCAAAAGAGTACTAATCTTATATACAGAAGATGGAAGCACAGGATTCTAATCACATTTCTGTGCGACCTTGGGAAAATGACTTATTTTCTTTAGGCCTCAGTTCCTTACCTGGGTTTATTTATAATCAAGGAAAATAATTAATATGATAATATATTGACCTCTTTTTGCAATTCTGGTGCAAGGTTAAAAACAGGTAAAAGTAAGAAATGTGCTTATTAAAACTATATTAAAGCAACAGTCTAATAACCATGTTGACACTTCTAAATATATTTGAACTAGGCTCTTTAAAGTCTACCCCTTTTCTTTAAATTTAACTTGCCTTCGTGGACTGGCAAGTACCCGACACCAGCAGATGAAGTGACTCGTTCGAGATCATGCGCAGTTCTAGGCTATTTCAATATTTTGAAACGACTCAGAATTGTCATATTGGAAGGGAAGATTTAGATCACTAAATGCCTTATTTACAGATGAAATCATAAAGGCCTCCCAAAAAGTTCTTTGCCTAAAGCCACATGGTGAATGGCAGAGCTAAGACAAGGCAACGTGATCATGGTTCAGTGTCTTTCCTACTAAATTTCCCTTCCTTTTCTTAAACTAGGCTGGATAAAGAATCATGTGAAGGTCAGACTGTTATTAAATCTTTCCCATAAATAATTTTCCATTGGTGCAAGATATATGTCTAAAGCGACATAAGTCAGTCTATATTTGCCCTGGTGATATATGTATTGTCGAAACAGTCCTGGGAATGGAGAATATTAGGGATTTTAAAAATGGACATCTACTTATAATTGTCACAAAAGAAAAGAGTACCTTTTAAAAAGTTCTGCTTTAGGGCCCCCAATTTAACATGACTAATTTTTGCTTTTTTAGCTTAATACTTTAACCTGCACATATTGAACCAACTGTGCAATTAACAGTGTCTCGTAATCTTGCACAAAATATGAAGCAATTATAGTTATTCAGTAACAAAACAATTATTAAAATGAAAAAGTCCAATAACGAACTAATCATTGTGTTTATATACATGTAGAGGCACAATTGGCCTCAGAGTTAAACTCTTGGCGTACGAGCTTTAAAACATCTCCAAATAGAATGAATGGCTTGCACTTAATACAGATATCCCAGTCATGCCTCAGCCTATTGTATTACTTTCAGGGCCTAGGCACCTGCATTTCTACGTGCTTCTTTACATGATTCTGCTGCCCAGCCAGGTTGGGAAATCAGTGATACCAACAACTCTGCTGTGCTAGTTCTGAATCACTCACGTGGTGGATGTATCACCCCAAGAGGGAGACCTGATATTCACTTGATTTTTTTTCCTTTCCTTTCCTCTACGACAAGGACCTACTGTGAAATCCCCGGTTCTGTTGTTCAATGGATATCTGAGATAATGGAACTAGAAAACAGGGTCTGGCTGGTTTCTTGTTTATAAAATGCACCTAAAGGGTCTGGATAGTGGTTTTCCTAGGCGTTCTATTTCATCATTTCACACTGGGCTTGCAAGTCATCCAGTTCTAGAAGCTGTGGCCAGGAGAAACGTGTGCTCTGTGCCTTGCTGAGCTCTTTATGTTGATTTAATGAGACAGGCAGCAATATTCAGGTATGCTTCAGGGATACTAAAACAGGCACGCTGAATTTACATATTTATGAGACTAAACTGTTTGAACCTGCACACACACACATACATGCACACAAATTATGTCGCTGTGGTGTTTCCCTTTAAATGCTTTACGTGTACGATATTTCCCAAGGTTGCATTACTGATAAACACAAGAACTACATCTGGAGGAAATCCTTTGAAATTAGATTCGAAATCCACATTAATGCCACGTGAGTAATGAGTACCAAGAGGTGCTGCGCAGGAGTGCCGGGAGCACTGGGGTAAAAATAGTTGTTTTTTTTCTTTCTAAGATAAGATAGGGCTAGTGCTTAATTCCTTGCTTTCCCTATGTCAAGGTTTCTTTGAGCTGCATGTGTGTGTCAGCATGTAATAAAACATAATAACCAAATACCAGGTCTTAAAATGTTACTGCCTTGAAAATATACCACCATGCCTCAACCTTTGGATTGAATTTATCAAAGGAGGCAATGTCAAACATACACATAAGATGGCAGCTCTAATTATTACAGAAGCAGGAAGGACAAGAAGTCCTTTGGTCTCTTCTTCCCTCACCTGCAGGCAGATGACTTTTTTATTTTTTATAAACATATCTGAGCTGATTTAATTTGCCACAGAGATGGTTTTAGATGTATTTATCAAAACAGATCTTTGGAAATCCGAAACTAAATTAATTATGTCTTAGGTCAGGTATATGAAGTATTTTGTTTTTGTCATGCAAAGAAAATGCTACTATTATTCAGATGAGCTACCTCCAGAGTAAATGAGAAGCAGAGTAGCCCTGCAGGAGGCCCAGGGGAAGGAGGACAGGATTAAAGACAGAAAATGTTTCTATTTTGTTACCGAAAATTCTCCAAAGGGATTTTCTTTGGTGGGGCCATATTGCCTGGCTCCCACCCAGTTCTGAGAGGACAGGTGGCGTTAGGTCTGTACGCTTTCCTTCTAGCAAGGTCTTCCAGTGAGAGGGTGGGCTTTTAAGTGTTTTATGGGATGTAATTTCCCGGTGCGATATGAATGAAGTGAAAGATGCAACCGTGCCCTTAAATCAGGCTTCCTTCTTGGTCAAGATCACAGTTCTAGTTGGGCACACACTGGGTATCATTTCCTTGAGATGCACTACAATAAACACAGCAGCTTTCTCAACTGTGCTTGTATCAATTTCCTAATCACAACAAATGTTTCCTTATAATGACAGTCAAAGCACATTCCAGGAAGGGCAATTTCTACAGCAATACTCCATGAAAAACTATTTACTAATTTTGATTAAAAAGCCAGGGTTCTATAAGGGTTGCAGAAAATATCACCACTATATTTTCAGCTTACACCAAAGAAGTTGGGGGCGCTAAATACTAATTTAAAGGTTCAAAAAGTGAACTGCTGCCTAGGCTTTCTTAAGAGAGTGGATCTGTTTTAGTGGCTTAGTAACTAATTCCCCCTCTAACTAAATATCATATGTAAAGCCCTAAAAATGATTTGGGACATTAAGGGGGTCAAAATGAATCTCTGCGGAAGGTGCTGAACACATTCACTTAGCAAAGTAAAAGTTCTGTGGAATCCTTTCAGAGACAAAACCAAGCCTAAGGAGTAAATGGTTATTTCCTGGCACAGGAAGTCTCAGTTCAGAAAAGCTATTCACCCAAGGTTGATGATCTCTCAGAACCCCCATGAGAGGGAGCACAGTTTTTATGCTCATGACAGCTGTCACATACGTCCCATCACAACAAGTACAACCAAACCCAACTTTAAAATCAGCTTTGTTTGCTGTAATAGGGCAGAGAGAGACAGAATCACCAGAGGTAAAGAGATTAGGACAAGTGGGGGCAAAGGTATTTCTACTGGAAAGAATTTATCTTGAGCAAAATTAAAGAGTTTTACTAATTTAAGAAATGCCTCTAAATGATGAAATAAAGATATTTGGATTCAATGAGAGGGGGAATTACATTTTCCCTAGCACTGGCTAGCAAGGGTAGATTACCAACAGGCATGGATAGTGGTTTGAAAAGCTGTGTTTAGGGCCATGTTTTCATGAGTTTCATGGCAATTTCTACTCATCTGTGAACAACAGCTATCGTAAAATGTGGCAGCAATTAACAGGAATGAAAACAGATTATCTGAAAGTCACGCAGAATAAGGTCTTTAGGTAAATATCGTGCTGCTATATACATCAGCAGCGAGACCATTATTCAAAGAAAATTCCCAACTGGTTAGGAGGGCTGACTTCCAAGTTGTGTGAACAACTCTCCAAAGTTGGCAGTGGGTTATCTACACGACCCGGGAGATTGGAAATCTTCCAGCATCCTCCATGGTGACTCCAGTTTACTCAGTCTTTAAAATCTAGCTGAGTTACTAAACACCCACCCTGAGTCGTGGTGCATTCTACAACTGTTTAGTGGTAACAGTGACCCCAAGATGGACCCCTCTATTTAAACATTCATTCTTGCCATTTGCTTCCTGAATGTCTATTATGTATTTTTCTCTTGGAGAAATCCTCTTCCTGGGTGTGGGGAGAGCAGATGAAGAGTATAAAATGGCAATCACAGGATGAGGTTTTTTTTGTTTTTTTTTCTTTGACAGAGTCTCACTCTTCTGCCTGGGCTAGAGTGCCATGGTGTCAGTCTAGCTCACAGCAACCTCAAACAATCCTCCTGCCTCAGCCTCCCGAGTAGCTGGGACTACAGGCATGCACCACCATGCCCGGCTAATTTTTTCTATATGTTTTTAGTTGTCCAATTAATTTCTTTCTATTTTTAGTAGAGACAGGGTCTCGCTCTTGCTCAGGCTGGTCTCGAACTCCTGAGCTCAAACAATCCGCCCACCTCGGCCTCCCAGAGTGCTAGGATTACAGGCGTGAGCCACCGCGCCCGGCCACAGGATGAGGTTTTAACTACTTAACACTGAAGCTCCTTGCTCTACAAAATGGCATCGCTCTCAAAGAAGCCCCTTTCTAAGTGTGCCCTTATGACCTGCGCTGCTTAAGAGACGGGGGAGTTTGAGGAACACAGGCTGGCACTGTGTCACCTTGACTGGCTTATGTTCAGGATTCAGGTCGTTGTATCTTTTCTATTGGTAAACATGAGTTTTCCAGCTCAGTGTCTTAAAATCTAGTTACTGAGGAAATGCTCTGCATAATGGACTTAATGATCCCAAACTGGAATAGCAGAGATCTGGAATGAGGTATGTCAGGAGAGCCGTGCTATTTATATATGGGCAAAGCTTACACATGCAGTTCTGCATCATCCTTGCTGCTATTAATAAACTCGCTCTCTTCGTGAGCAGCTAATTTAAAATGAATCTTACATGATTAAAACTACCAAAAATGGAAAGGAACCTTGAACCGTCTCTGCCCTAGTAGCCCTGATAATTAATAGACTATGTGTCCAGGATATAAAATGATTACCTGGTGATAGGTATGATTTATAATTGTTTCCTAACTACAACCTTCAGTTGATTCAAGTAATTTTCTCACTGCCCTCTGCACAACAAATAACTCTTTTTGTCCCTGTGCCTCATACCATTTTCCTACTTGATATGGTGTAGCCCTTTCTCTTTGCTCCTAAATCTTATCCATTTATTAAAAGTTTGCAAACAGTTCTCAAAAACTTCTCCAGCTCCTGTATTGCATTTGTTTTCTGAATTCCGACTACACTTAGAGTCAGTCTGATCATTTATTATACAATGTTCTCCAGATGTGTTCATTGAACCCTGTCTCTATTCTTGACTGCCAAGTACCTCAACCCCTCTTGCACACACAGGAACATGGCTCTTGCTTCGAGATAGGTATCTCAGTCAAACCAGTGGTGGAGGTTCATTCCAGACTCTTGATACTGATCTTTAGGAAACCCCATACTTTCATGACACCAAGAGGAGAATTATGCAAAAAAGGCTTACCTGAAATGCACAGGGGGTATTGTCCACACAGTAAACTCTCAAGTTGTAATCCAGGGAGTTACAGGACATGCAACCAAAAACTGCCACCTTGAGTTGCTTCACGGCACAGTCTGTGATTGGCTCTCCAGTGAGGGCATAGGTCCCAAAGCTGTCTAGGAGCACGTGACATGCAAAGGGGTCCAAAAGGCAGTAACAGGATGTGGATTCATCCTCCACTGACATCACTTCCTGTTGGGGAAACGCATGGTAAATTCTCTCAGCTCAGAAAAATAAGACGTGATTTAAGCATTAGGTTGCTAGGACGTAAATAAACAAATACGTTTTTTCAGCATGTTTTTACTGTCTTAATTATCTTGATGTTAAATGTCCCTCTTCTATTAAGAGTTCAAGAAATGGTTATGTTCAGTATGTTATTAGAGTTTCTACTTAAGGGGTTATAATAACAAAAATGACTTTAAAAGTTCTATTTCTGGATAATTTGTTCAATGTCGAGTTTAAAAAAATCTTGAATATTAATGTGAATAAGCAAATATTTTATTTTTTACGAAGGTCTATTTCTGAAAACTCTTTAGCTATCCCTAAGGTAATGTTTATTTTCTCTCAAACGTTTTGTCTCCTTTCATTCCATCAACATCGTTCACAAGGTAAACCACTAGATAAATGATTTGGATAAGATGTTCTAGAATATTTCACCTTTCCTGATAAGAACTTTGGTACGCGAGACTGGTTTGGGAGAGTATAGATATGACACCACGTGGGTGTAAAAGGTTAGGAAGAAGTGTTGGGAAGAAGGAAACGTTAAAAATCAAGGCAAAAACCAAACATAATGTGAACAGGACCACAACTCGGTGGTTTATGAAACCCATGGAACTTCATGCCCCAGGAAATCTGCCGGTGGTTGCACTAGGACTGAATAAATAGCATTCCGGAACAAAGAAAAAAAAGACTAGTTTCAAGACATAGCCGGGCAGCGTAAATGTAATCCATGGCAGCAAATGGGAATTTCCTTCTTCTAAAGAAACATGATTTTCCTTTTGCTTCTTTTGCCTGAAGCACCTCCTGGGAGGCAAGATCCCAGGGCTAGCTGGAACAGGTCATTGTGTTCCAACAAGATAATTCACCTGCTTTCATGCAAACTGGTTTCAGATGGACATAAAGGAGGCCCTATCAGACAGATAAATCAGGGCTTTCACTTAAAATAGTAATTCAGTGGCAATCGGTCTTTGCCGTGACCGGCTCTCTTGTCGTGCACCTCCCGTTACATATCCACATTCTCTTTTCTTGTCTCCTCTTTGTTCTCTCCTTGTACTGTATCCCTTCTACATGCATCACAGACACAAGGAAACAGTCACTGATAATAATTCTCAATGCATTCATTAGCTGATTAAGCATACATTAAGCACCTATTATGTTCCTGGCTACTTAACCATAGATACGTTATAATCCCCAGGACAGAAAAAAAACAGATATAGCTATTTCTTTTATGAACACAGCCCGCCTACCCTGGGCCTCCTTCCTAACTTCACAGAGGCCACAGAGCAATGGCATTTGAGACAGGGCCATGGCCTAGGAAGAAGTGAGGGGAGATAGGGACCAGGTCCATAAGGGGATGTGTCTGTGCGGGTCCTTATAACTGTATTTATTCTCAAATCAAACAGCAAATCTCTGCATTATCCCTTGTCTCTGTTTTCTGTTATCAGGGGAAAAAAATACCAGCCAGTACCTTGAGGATGTTATAAAACATGTGCCACCAGGCCTTTGCAAAACAAGAAAATGCTGATTTATTGGGTTCAAAGAGGTTACGGTTAAATCTATCCCATAGGTGGAACCCCCATCTCATTGTTTCAAAAAGGAAGACTTGGGTCTCACCTCCCATTTGCCCTGCTGTGTCCTCTTCTTTAAGTGGATGTTCCAGTGCTCGGAGCTGACGTCTGCACAGTGTGGGATGGTCAGCGCAAAGGGAGTGGTGACGATCATGTCTGGAGGACCACAGGTGACTTCAGGACTCAGGAGCACCTCGGACCCATCAGACTGGAGGCTTCACAGTTGGGAAAGGAATAAAAGACAGAAGTGTGTCAAGGAGGGCCATATGTGAGCGAGGATTTAGTTATAGATTGGGGTTTCCTCCAGGCTCGTCAAAATCCCTTTCTAGGATTTCCTTCTGGACAGCGCCACATGACAAAGTCCTGGTCTGGAGAACGAGCAGGAATCCCGACCTTCTCAGGCACACACAGTGAGTTTCAGCCTAGATTTCAAATCTAGGTTTCAACAAACCAACCGACAAAATGACAGATGCATCTTTGGAAAAACAGGGCAGAATTGGAAAACTCAAAGACCTGGCTGGTGGGTCTACATGCCAGCTGCCACATTCTTATTCTTGGTGATAACATTATCAATGACCAAACAAGAACTTTATGGAAATGATTGATCTAGTCATCTTATTACCATCAGATTCCTTCCTCCCAACAACACATCCTACAATATTTTCAATGCTGATAAACGATAAAACAGGTTATTATGAAACAAAACAGCCCTTAAACATACATGGATTGAGTATCTCTATTCTGGCTTTGACAACATTTGTTCTTTGCCGATGCACAAATACGTAGGTTATTTAGTGACAGCACAGTAGACAACTATAAACGTGTGTAACAAAATACATAAACATGTATCTTTCAACTGTTTCTTGTTTTAGATCTAAATTTAAAATCATTCTGCCCAAAACCTGGTGTTTGGATTTTTCCATAGTGGGAATGCAGAGTCATGAAACAGACAAAAGAAAGTGAAATTTAACTAAAGGGGAATAATAACGCTTCATTGCATGTCTCCCTCTTTTATTTTCTTGGCTTTTGTTTTTAATCTCCAACCCCAAAGAGTACGGAGGGGTAGTCTACAAGATGGCAATCAGTAAGAAAGACCCAGAACTCCACTTATTTTTCCCCCAACTGCATATGAGTTCTTCAGTAAGCTAGATGATCTTTTTGTTAGCTACATTTTCACTTGTAAGAAATATAATGACATCGAATATAGTCAATAAAGCAATTCAGGACTCACAGATGAATAATGCTACATGAGAGCTAGGAATAGTATTATTACTAAACCATTCACTCATACTACCTAGGAAGAATAGTATTATTACTAAACCATTCACTCATACTACCTAGGAAGGACATTTAAAGATGCTATCACTGATCAAAAAAGCAACCCCTTGGGCAACATTGAGATGAAATTTACTGCTAAAAGATGCCACCTTTCCCATGATTCTGTATAAATACACAGCTTTTTAAAATGAGTACATCTAACATGTTATTAATTTCTGAATTGTTTTTGTTGACATCTCCTGTTCGCTCTCAGGTTAGTAATAGTCACACTTGAGCTCATTATCTATAATTTGCTGTTGCAATAAAGCCAGGCCATATAACCGAGCAGGAGCATCTTCCAAAACAGTAGATGTAACATGATTATGTGAGCTCCTTCCCTCCCCAAGCAGCCCTGGAGATGCCTTCAAAAAGTTCAATCTTCCACAAAGGTAATCACCAGGCCAAAGTTGACAATTCTTCCTATACAAGCAAAACATAGGTTACGCTGAGCAAAAGTCTGCCATTTACCTTTAAGCAGAACAGGCGAGGGGAGGAGGATTAGAAAGCAATGTGTTAGCAGTTGCAAACACTTTATGAAAAGCCTAGAACAATATACTTGAGGTTTCAAAAAAAACATAAAATTCAAATGTGTGCTGTCACCAGCGTGCAGCGGCAGCCTGCGTGTGAGTGCCTGCCAACGGCCATTAGGGAAGGTTAAGCGCTTTCTGTGTAATTGTCGCCTGCATTCATCACGGGCAGGAATAGCAGGGATGCTTCTGAGTGACCGATGACAAGCTCTCCTAAAAGGAACTACTTAATTGCTTTCAGAGAATCATCCCCCTTGTTGAACATATTGTTCAAACATATGGGAATTTGGGGAATTATTTAATGCCAAATGAACTAAAATCAGCTAATTAGATGAACTCTCACACTCATCGCGAATAGCAAGACTCCTCTCAGTGAAAACTTACTTAAACAGCATCAGGACCCAGAGGCAGCGCGTGTTGTGTAAGAGGCAGAGCGCAGAATAGGAGTTTTGCATTAAATAGACACTGGGCATTTCTGTAAGTGCAAAGTAAGTAAATCAAGATTATATTTAATCTTTCTACTGTGAAAATAGTGTCCGTGGGTGCAGGTCTCTCTCTGATGAAGGAATAGAACTTAATTTCTCCACTTTTCCCCCCATGATTAATAATAATTTGCCCTTTTAGGCCACCTTCTATCGGTGGCAGTCAGGGAGATTTACAAATATTAATTAAAGCTCTTCACACACCTGTGGAGGCAGGTGTTAACAGCGTAAGGTCACGGAGGCGTCAATCAAGGTGATGGGTAAAAAAATAATCCTAAATTTCTGACTCATGTTCCTGCTCTCTGTGACCAGATTGGACTTTTCTTTATTGGGAGATTTCCGGGCAAATTTCTGGCTCTTGTGACATCCCAAGGAAAGAAGAGGGGAACAGAGGGAGGGGGAGTGCTGTCCACGTGTCATCCTGGGTACAGATTCAGGGCATTTGAGGACAGAAGGCTGGGCAGAGACGACTGTAATTGGGTGTGGACACAAATGAAGCCTCCTAAGGAAAGCATAGGTGGTATTTAAATCTTGCCACACTGTATAATCCATGACAGGCAGTGTGCATGTCCCTGCTGGGAATTAAAAAACAGGCAATACGTTTTTCTAAAATTGCTGAGTGCTAATAATAACAACCGTGAACTAATAACAGCAGTGATTTCAGGACCAAAATATGAACCACCTCAGTGTATTGCACACCCTGGAGTGGTCTGTAGACAGAAAAGTCTTGTTGCCTACTAGAACTTTTGCTGCTTATCTGTTTCATTGCTCTCCACCTACACATACACATGCATACATTAAACACATGTGTACAGGCACTCATACACATAGTTCAAATACTTTGTATGGATAGAAATAGTTCAATAATTTAAGAGCCAGGTCTTATTTCTACAGGAACTCTGCTTTCTGAGATGGCTGATTCAATAACTTGTCATCGGATCAACATACCCTTTAACTAAAATGTTCAGTGTCTTAGCAGTGTGTGCTGTGGGCATCTAAGGCTCCTTGGCAACGATCCTGGTCTCCCTGCCTTTCTCATTGCCTCCCACAGTCTGTCCTCAGCGCGGCCACCTGAGTCATCAGACTAAAAATGCCAGCGTGTTTGTACCTCACCGAATCGCTACTGTTCCTGCTGCTTTGGAGTGCCGGGCGCTGCCTGGCAGAGTTTTCCTCCAGACGTCCACGCAACTTCGCTCCCGCATGCCCTTCAGGTCCTTGTTCAAAGGACACCTACGGATGAGGCTCTCCCTGACCAGCCTTGGTAGTCACAATTCTCTGCACCAAAGGCTGGTTTCCGCGTTGCTTTTTCCTCTCAATGCTTAATGCACTCTAACATACTATACCGTTTCCTTACTACGTCATCATCATCATCATCATCATTATTATTGTTATTTTGTCTCCCACAAAGTAGAACATAAGCTCCATGAGGCCAGGGATTTTTTTTTTTTCCTTCTGTGTCCCCAGTGCCTGACACATGCCGGTGAAAGGACTCAAACGTATTTGTTGAAAAGGACACAGGAGCCAGCTTGAAGTGGTTCTCACTGATCAAATCTGGAACATTTTGAGCATCCAAGTAAATGATAGTAAAGAATTATAACCCATTGAGTAATACTATAAGAATCCACAAAATATACTGACATGAATGGGCAAATGAATGAATTAGAAGGGAAAACTCTTCCCTACAAGAGAAAACCAACTGATAAACGTAAAAAACCATCAATCAGAATGAACCCCTTAATACTCGATTCAGACATGGATCGTAGAAGGATCCAGACCTACAGGGTGAATGTTCGAAGAGTAAATAAAGAACTATTTACGTGGTTTCATGGTATCCTTCCACAAGGTACTCAACTAATCACCAAGGGCAAAATATCACTCCACAGTGGAAACTTTGGCAGACACCACCTAACACGAGATATCCAAGCTAACGTCGCCAGGAATGGGATGAATTGGAGAACACACCCCCAGACAGGACGCAGGGGACAGAACTCAGCATCACTTCTGTGACACTCCTGCCAAAAGCGCACAACCTGAATCTCGTCCTAAGGAACATCAGAGAAGCGCAGACGTGGGGACATCCTACAAAATAATCGATCTGAACTTTTTAGAAGCTATCAATGTCACGGAATAAAAAGACTCAGGAACGGTTCCAGATTAAAGGAGACTGAAGACACATAAAAACAGAATGCAACAAACGGACCTGGATTTTCACTTATTATAAGGGACACTATTCAGCTAACACGTGAAACACGAGTAAGGTCTGTGGAGTAGGTAATAGTATTTTATCAATGTTAATTTCGATTTCAATGATTATGTTGTGGTTACGTAAGAGAATTTCTTCTTTGGGGAGAAACACTCAAGTTTCTAGGGGTAATGGGACATCTTGTTCACAATGGTTAAAAAGACAAATATATGTGTATACATATGTATTTCATCTGTGTGTATACACATACAGAGAAGAGAGAAGAATACAGCAAATGTAGTAAAATACTAACATTTGTGGATCTGAGTGTAGATGAGTATTCTTTCTACTACTCTTGCACCTTTCCCTTGAATTTGAAATTTTGTCAAAATAAAAAAAAATAAAGTTTTTGAATGCATGAATGAAGACAGAAGGCCCAGGGAGAATTTTTACAATGAAATCAGCAGGGCCACCTGACTAATCCATGAAAATGCACACGGCAGGTGACGGAGGTGCTGCAGCTGGCAGTGGTGGGGAGGCGATGGCCCGGCCCACATGACACAGTACCTGAAATTCTACAGCATCCACCTGCACAGCCAGGCCAATGGGAGGTTGTGCTGAAGGTTAGCCACAAGGCAGCAACTGCGGACCGTGGGAGGGCTGCAGGTGTATCCCATACATTTTGCTTTTGCGCTCACTATATCTTG